TGATGAAGGCCCCCGGGACGCAGTTGAGGTATTTGCTCTAAGTGTTTAAGTTTATCTGTTAGAAACAGGCTGCAGCCTCAACTCCAGCCCAGGGCCGGCAGATGGAAGCCGGGCCCTCCAGCCTTGTCTCAGGCCTGCTACTAACCTCTCACCACCCAGCAAGACTGAGCTTTTCCACCCGATGGCTTCACGTATGAGGGCAATTTAAAGGCATTTCTATACATCTCTCTCCCTCCATCCCAGCTAATTAGAATGTTCAACTGTCGTTTGGTCAGATTTTAAATCGTGGTATGCTCACACTGTTTCAATATCACCTCTTATCGACACCATCAACGTCTATTAAATGGGGAGCAGGAACTATAATTTCTACATTAATGACAATACTGCATGTTGAGAAGATGCTATGTTATAGAGGACAAAAGATACACCTTCATCCCCTTCCACAGTGTCTCGTTTCTACCATTTAAGCACCCAAACAAACCTGCCATGAGGCAAGTGTAGATTTACAAAAAAGGCAAGTTAGAAATTACGTCCTTCACAGAGATCCACAAAAGGATTGTGCAAAAATCTTAGGTTGCCTTCGAATATTTAGGCTGGTATTCGACGCATGTACTGTTTTTGGAGATATGTACTACTACATAAAGCAAAGCCGACAGTTAACTGAACGGAGACGCGGTCAACAAATGCCTAAAATACCATTCTCATCAGGTAAAACAAGAATAGATGTTCCAAGTAAGAGTGAGTTGAGGCAACATTAGTTTATTTTAGGTACTTGATTAAATTGAAAACTACTTTATTACTTACAGACTGAACCTATAAGGAAACAAAAGGGTTTAATCCAAATAATGTGAAAGTGCATTAACTCTTCACTCTGGCCTTTACTTTTTTCCTTTTCAAATAACTGAGATTTCAAGAATAGAAATGTTTGTGAATGGCTCTTTAAAAATACCTATTTTGAAACCACAGATAAATATAAATAGGACAAACCACTTTTTAGAGCGATTTGTGAAACACTGCCCTAGTAAGGTTTTACAGAACAAAGATGCTCTAACGCATTTCCTCCCTCCTCTCAGAAGTACTTGCCTTTCTCTGCCTCTTCACACTGCTTCCTGCGCGCGCAGATCAGGCTCCCGCGGAGGCGCGGGGCTGGTCCGGAGCCATCCGCGGACGCCTCCCCAGCTTGCGCAGTGCGCCGCAGAGACGGCCAGCCGAGCGCGGCGCGGGGCGGGGCAGGCGGCGGCTGCAGACACCCGACTGAAAGCCCGCCGCCCACGGCTTCCAGTCGGGTGTTTACAGGCGCCCGCTGCCGGGGCGCGGGCTCCTCTGCGCTCCAAGGCCGGGTGAGCCGCGGAGGTCGCCTGGAGACGTGTCGGCCGAGGCGGCTCCCGCGGGGACCGGGCCGGGCCCGCAGGTGCCTGCGTCCTCGGGGAGGCCGCGCGGGGCGCGCTGGCCCGACGCAGTGGGCGCCCTGACCGCAACGCCGCGTGCCGGCGGACTCAGACGGCGAAAAGGCGATGGTCCGCTTCCCGCGCTCCGGGTTCCGCCGAGAGAGGGCTTGCGTGCTGCTGTCCTCCACCGCCTGCGCCCCGAACCCCGCTCCCGGGCGGCCCCTCGTCGCCCATCGGAGAGGCCGAGAGCGAGCACGCGGCCCGCCCGGCACGAGCGCCTCGCGGATCGGAACTTGCCCTGCAAAGCGCAGCGCCTACGGCTGGACGGGGGCGCGCTCGCCGCAGATCCGCGCGGGGCGCTCCGCTCCCGTCCTCGTAGGAAGACGGAGGAGGGAGACCCGAGGCGAAGCTCCGCCGCCCTTCCCAGGGAGGGAGGACCAAGCGAGGGCCGAGAAGCGGGCCGCCTCTCCCGGGGTTTGCTTTTAGATGAAGTGACCATAGGCTCTGAAGTGGCAGAAGTCTTAGGAGTTAGTGACACCAAACCCGAAACAAGACCAAAATGCACACAAACAGTGTCATGTTTACCCAAACTAACGTGAAGAGCTCCATAAATTACTCTCTCAAAGCCAAGGGTAACTCTTTCCCATTAAGGTTAGGAAAGTTAATCTTGGAGGCAGCAGGTGAAAACAAGCTGAATTATGTTGTGGCCTTTTTCGTTATTAACTAAGGACTTTGAACTATTAAAACTTCCTAGGGAACCACATTTTCTCAATGGGTCAAGTCACAGAGGGGAACAAAGCAGACTCTATCAGTGCCCTGCAATTCTGCATTCCAGAAATTCTTAGCGCTTGGCGTCCATGTGCCACCGTGCCTGCAGCGCGAGTCAGTTCACCAGGCTCAGCACAGCTGCCAGCCCTGTGAGCTGCTCCGAGACACCCACTGCTTTCAAGTTAGTCACCGGTAGACAGGCAGGGCACTGTTTAATTAAAACAGATAAATACCAAGCCCTACACCCTGTGAAGACATTGTGTAGCAGTAACTGTTCACAAAAAGAAAATAGTTTTACTCCTATAAGTTTTTCTCACAGTGACAGATCTCCTGTCCAAGTGTAAGCCTCAGAAACTTACACTTTTATATAATAACTTTAAGAATGAAAAGCAGTCACTAGTACACACTAAGTGTACAACCTCAAATAACAATTCAGTGAACACGTGAAAGAGGCAGTAAACCTTAGCACAACTTGGAAGATGCAGCCCTTTGCTCAGAGCTCTACGAATAAACATAAAAGATTCTGCACAAAGCATGGAAGATGGTAAGATCTGATTGCAAGGGTTCATACGTGGAAGGGCATTTAATAACGACAGTGCTTCACTGCCAGTACATATGGGCTGCTTTTTAGCAAGACATCAGCTAAATGAAATCTGTGTGAAAGGAAAAGCAGACCTATCCCAACAAGGGCTGAGCAATTTTGTCGGTTTAAGCAAGACTCACTGTTATGTAGTTTAAGCTATTTGCTTATTTTCTGGTAACTGAGCAGGATTGGTTCCATTTGGAACAGCAATTCCCAAAATGAGAGGGCGGCAACAGAATCACCAGGACGGCTCTTCTAACCCACATGCCGGGATGGCCTCTTGCCCCATCCCCTCTGCGGTGCTCACTCAGGTAGGGAGGGTGCTCAGTGTGTATTCTGCACAAGCTATCAAATGATCCTGCTGTATCTTCCTGGCAGAGACCCACTAATCCAGAAAGACAGAACTAAATAAATTTACTTAAGACTAAAAAGTCTTGCCACTACCTGAGAAACGTGACCAGTGAATCCATTAAAAAATCATGAATTAAAAATGAATATAGTAGAACAAGATTCAATTATGTCCAATACATGAGACCCTGATTTGTCAGATCTAATCCTGGAAATGCTCACAGAAAACTACTTACTTAGTTCAAAACCACAGGACTCTTGGCTGCCTTAGCCCTGTCACACAAGGTCCCTATAAGTCTCCCCACCCAAAAGTGCAGCTCTCATGTCTATACCCTGGTCAGGTTTTATAATCGTCCCCACATTAGTTTTAACTGTTGGAAGGATTAATTCATTCTGGTGGTGGACAGTTTAAGACTGGCCCCAGATAAAGTTTTCAAGTTTTTCTTAACTACCCTAAACCACTCAGTCTTGAACCCTCTTATTGACTCTATAATCATGCATTTTCCTAAGCTATGCATAACTAAGAACAGCTTAAAATATTACAGCCACTCAAGTTCCCCCATCTCCTTCCATTCACATACCCAGTTCTCCGGATTTTAAGATAGCAGAGTATTTACATTAAATGGCCCATACTTGAATGGTGAGATTTTAGGCACTTATCAGCAGGTTGGGGAAGTTATCATTACTTTATTTATGTACACTAGGACAATCCTTTGGCCATGAAAATGCAAAGGTGCATGTAGATGACTCTATCCCAGGAAAGAACGAGGATGCTTCTTCCCCTGGCTCCCCACTTCTCCGTATCCATCTCATTGCCACCTGCGCTGACCTCTGGATGCTTGCAGTAGGACTGTAGGAATGGGAGTGTTTCATGTCAGCAGAGGACCCAGTGTGCAGGCTCTGCTCTGCATCCTTCCACCCACCATCTCTCTGGGGGCCAAGGTTCCAGCCAACTGTGTCAACAGTGCTGACATCTGGCCCTCATCATGTCTTCAGAAAACCCACCCAAAGACAAGAAACACAGTGGTCTCTGCTTCCTTATGTGGAAAGCACACACAGAACTGATCTGAAATCTAAGTAAAATAAATGTACAAAATTCTGCCCTTTAAAATTAATCTTCGTCTTCTTCTATTTATACTTTACACTTACTAGTCCACACTGCTTTTAGCCTAATTCAAAGGCTTCTAATTCTCATTATGTTTCTTGCTAATGGCAATGATGATGAACTTTCCCTTGATTTTTTTTTTTTTGGTAATTATTAGAAATATAGACCTACCTGGTCCTTGCTTCTCAAAAATGGCTGAAGGCTGAAAGAACATTTTCACATGGATTGTGGACACATGGGAGATTAAGAAATGCAAATTCTAGGAACAAAGCATTATCTTGGATAGTATAGAGTTTACAGAATTATAAAGAATAAAAACTCTTCTACTCTAGAAATTAATATATTTTTAATTCAATTAACATTCTCTAATAAAATGGTAATGAGAAATAAGTTGAGAAGCTAGATAAACCGTGTCCTCAAGTTTATAGCCTTAACTTTACTACATCGTTTGTGTTGTATGTCCAGCAATGTCATTTTATGCACGATCTCATGGTGTCCCTTCCACGTATGATCAGTCATGTACATTACCATCAGCACACAGGTGAGGACACGGGGCTTGGAGAGGTGGAATCACTTCTCTCACTCTCTTTCCTAGTCTGATGTTTTGCTTATTATAAGCTCTTCTGAATCATCTGTGGAGTTGGGGAAGGTGTGGGTTTGAATAAATATGAAATAGTTAATGATAATTCAATAAAAATGGTGTTTTCATTGTAAATTGGGCACAAAAAATTAATAATTGAAAAAACGTTTAAGAGTGGAAACAAATATCCAGATCCTTTGGTGAGAAAACAATTCATTCAGTCGCTCATTCATTCATCATATTTTTATTCATTTGCCAAACTCTGCTTTAAAATAATACTGATTACAACCTAGGCCAGCGTTCCCCAGACAGCAGCTATCCAAGCTCCTCAGAGAGCTTTTGGTAGTCATTACCCTACGCCCCCCTCTGTGGGAGCCCCTCCTCTCCCACCTTGGCTGGCATTCTCTCTAGGGAGGGGGATTCCAGAGCGTCAGGGCATGCCAGCCATCAGGCTAAGGAGGGACTTTCCTCCCACTCCTCATCCCTCTCTTCCTCCAGGCACATCTTTGTCAGCACTTCCCAGGCTGCACCCCTCCACCACCTGCCGGCTCAGCTCTCCCATTCAGGGGTTCTTGCTCCACTGGGCTCCTCACAAGGAGCGGCTCTCACCCAGGGATGCCCTCGCAGTGCTGTTGAAATAGAAGATCGTATTTCTAAAGGGACATTAGGTGAATTTAAGATGAATTTCATTAGAATAATGTCAGAATTCAGAATTTATACAGTCCTTGTTTTTTAAATGAAAACTATTAGATTATATTGCTCCATACAGTAAAAATTCAACATGATTAGTATTTATACCTTTAGAGTAATGAGACATTATTTCAGAGGAACACAATACTATAATGGAAACTGCATTAAAAAATGTTTTTGTTTCTAAATTTCACAATTAAAAAAATCCATTTCTAATTTAGGTCAACTGTACATAAATTGAAATTTCTATGGATAGTTTAAGAAATTAAGTGATTTTGATGCTCTTAAAGAAAGATTTGAACGTAATCTACTTAGTTCATTATTTAAAAAAAATACTTTTAGGAAGTATTTCTTAGTAGTAGCCAAGCTTAGTTTAGAATCTTTTATTCATCATTTTGTGTAAAATAACATCAGTAATTGCCATAGAAAAATAGCCAGATTATTGACATACATAGTAATTGATCCCTTCTGAAATTCTGTAATCATTAAAATATATTTGCAAAGTTATGCACTGATACAGAACATTTAGATATCCCATCAAGTTAAAGAAAAGCCAAGAAAAATCTCTGTGTAAGATATAAATACCATTATTTAAAAAATTCAGAATATACATATGTAATTTTTCTTTTTTTCTGTATTTTACAAGTTTTGTTTAATGTGAATACTTTAATACAAATATTTAGGAAAAAAACTGACCCATTTCAGACCTAAGTATTAACACCTCTCCTGTCTCTAGAGTAAGGCAGACGGCACCAGACTTTTCTCAAGGACAGTTCTCTATCTAGATGAGTCTTTGAAGGGAGAGCAGGCTGCGTTTGCCTCTTCTCTGAAGGCCATGATCCTGTCTCATCTCTCTGGGTCTACTGGCGCAGTGCACAATATGCTTTACACATGGGAGGTGCTCAATATGTGCTGCCTGCAGTTTCAATGTATTCATAAGGAGATTCTTAAAATATGTTTTATTTACAATTATCCAGCATCTTTCTTTTCAAAAATTTATGAGCTCATAGCTCTTTCAAACGTGTTTTTTTTTTCTCCTTTATAAGTGATGAAATAGATTGGACCAGAAGTTAATAACTGGTCCAATTTTAGAGCTAAAGCTATAATATGAAGACGTGATTCCCCATGCTGTTGTCCATGAGAACTTCTTGAGACCAGCTGACAGTTCTGTCAAGATGCAAAGACAGGGAGCACTGGCCCTTTTGGTGGATGACTGCCATGGACAGGTCTCCGACTGTCCAGGAGCCTGTTTTCTCCTTGAATGGAAACTCGATAGCTACACTTCACAGAGCTCTTCTGAGAAACCACTGAGATATGGATGAGAAAACCATACAGATGTTAGTGATTCCCCCTTATATTACCTTCTGATTATGCACCTGTTAGGGCAGATTATTCAGAACAGTGTTTACCAATGGAAATAAACTGCTAATGTCATGTAGGTTTTTACACTAGCTACATGATCTTATTTGACCTCACTGGACATCAATTTCCTCAACTGTAGTTAAGAGAGTTAACCAGATTCTCTCTAAAAATCCTTCCAGCTATAAAATCCTATGACTCTAATTCCTTCATTGCTTGAATTTATGAGGTAGGGGTGGGAACTGGAGTGGGAAAAGGTGGGATGAATTTTTAAAAAATTAAACATACACAACTCATGAAAGCAGGCTTCCTCAACTAGTGTGACTTTTCTTAATACAGAGAAGCACCAATTACCCTGAGTTAATTCACCATCACTTCCCATACCCACACATTTTTAAAAATAGCAGGACTACAAAATAGTTTGAGAGCACATTTACAGACACAGTAGTTAGTAGCTGACTCCTGAAACTTTCTACAGAAGAATAGTTGTCTCCGACATTGTCTGGCCTGGAATTGGACTATAAGTAGCAAAATAAAAGAAGCTCATGTACTTTATACCTGGTGTTCGGTGACACAGTGTACAGAAAACAGGGACAAGGAAATTCTTATTCAGACTTTGACCTGTAAATCAGGTTGCAAGACCCCCACACCATTCCACACAGAGAATGAGCAACTTCACTTGAAATAGCTCCCTGCATCTCAAAGGTAAAGAACTTCCAGCAGAGTTTTACTGTAGTTAATGTTTGACTCACACCATGGGCTGTTAGCAACTTAGTTGCTCATATAAGGATATTTTTAGATTTTCAACAAAACAACTGTAAACTCATAAGATAAAACCACACTTAATTCAAAGAATAGTTATTAAAAAACTCATGTTGTAATTTCATCCTATTTTATTCACCTAATTAATATGTACTCATAGCAGGTTTGCACTAAATTTGAACCACTAGGGATAGCTGATGATGGAAATACCAGTGTGACTGGCCCTAATTTCATTTGTAGATTTAAGCATTAAGAAAGGAGGTAAAAAAGCTGAGGTCAACCAAATAGGGCAGCCACAGAAGCAACAGTCACAAACCAACTACTGTTTTTCTCCTCTCCTCTTGGGAGCGAGGAGAGTCTGAGAAAACATGGGATGATTTCCCTAAGCTTCTAAAGGTCCAGCTTCCATTTCTGCCTAATTCTAAGAAAACTTGGTGTGGTGGTAATCTAGGATGTACAAATGGGGAACATTTAAGGAACAGTGGGAGAAAATAAAAATTTCCATGATTATAAGACAGGATAGACAAGTAGGGGAAGGAATGGATAAATGAAAAAAAGGACAAATGAGAAAGAAAAGTCCCTTTCCCCCTTGCTATTCCCTAAGGCTAAATTAATTAGAGATTCTTGAAACGTTTGAACAGTATGTTATTGTCATGCAATGATCAAGGAAAAAAATCTTTAGTTTACTTTGTTTTACTGACGGGAATCTAATCAAGCCTGTTAAGACCAGGCCATTTCTCCACCTGAGAAATGAATGAATATTTAAAAATAAATTAATTTCTTCAAATCAATACTTTTATCATTTAGATTAGCTCAACATTTTGTTATTTAAACTGGGTGTTTTTCACAAATGCTACTGAATAGTGTACCTTTCTACAGAGAGCAAGATAAAGAGAGAGACTTCAGGGGCCCAAAAATGAATTATCAGAAAGTTTAAGGGTAAAACTGGCCATATATTTTGGATTTTCTGGAAGTGTCACAATTTCAATGATTCTGTCCCAATACAATCACAAATCAGTAGGAAATACTTTCAGACCTGTGATCTGACCAAGAAAAGTCATTAGAGATGATTTAAGTGGATTCAAAAAAATCCTAAATTCCCTAAAGAATTAACTTTAGTTTTACATCCTGTGGAACAAAAGTATCATACTTAAAAACCCACTTTTAAAAAATAGTTGATGAAAAGACCCTAATATAGAGTCTTTGAAAACAATAAAAAAAACCCTACCACGTTGGTCAGCATTCCAGAGTCTGAAAGTCCTAACTTTTCTTCTTATTTTTTCTTTCTTTCTAAAGCGCTTCTTAAAAATGCCTCTGGTATTTTTAAAATGTGCTCAGGAGTCCTAGGGCTCTGGCAGTTTTTTAACTAATAAAATAAACATAGCAATCGAGTACCTGCAGCTCTGCTAACAGTGTTGTTTGTATTCTGAGACCCATCCACAAAGACTACAGAGAAAAATACCCAGTATAAACAAATATTACTCAGATACCCGTGGCATCTCAAGGCAGCACACCCAAGTCTCAAATGCGAAAGGGAGAAATTTTCCACTCCCACAGTGCAGAACACCCCAGGAACCTCAGGTCAGGCAAAGAAAAGGAAGCTGGGGAGGGGCTGTGGGTGTAAAGCAAATCAGTAATTTTCTTTCTTCCTTGTTTTTTCACCATTTTTTCCCTCAGTATCTCTCTTCTTTTCCATGATGTCTCCTCCTTTCTCCGTATTTCCTACTTTTACCTGTTCTCTCATTTTCTTCCATCCCCAATTCCAAGAGAAAACATAGCTTTGTCCTTTAACTTCATTGCTTAACATGGTTCTCTAAACCTCATACAATACACATACGTAAACACTACTGAACAATATTTGCAAAGGAATACACAAAGAAAGCAGGGCAAGAAGGAGAATGTGGTGGGCTGGCTGGCGTTGAGGCTGGGAGAGGAGATTCTCCACCTGCACCGGTATTTGCAATGTGTGCAGCCATACGCGAGGCACAGTGAGCCAGCACAGCCCCTCATCAGGCCCAGAGGCTGCTGAAGCCCACAGCAATGACCACGTCTTAGGACTGAGTGCCTCCTTTCTAAGTTTGGCCTCTATATAGCCCAAGGCTTAAAACCAAGGAGGGAAGATGTGTTGCTCTCTAAGATTGGGCCCGGCTGAGTCCCTGACTCTTTCTATGAAGACTCATCTTCCCAAAACTCCTGCACATCTTTTTGTTGATTCTTAGCATGACTGTTAAGCTATCCATTCGGCCCACACTTAGCAGTCTCTCATCACTTAAGGGCCTACTCTAAAATAAATCTCTGTGCCTTGGTTTTCTTAATTGAAAAATGATAATAACTATATAATAACTATAATTATAGAGCTAGAGGATTAAATAAACTAATACCTGTAAAGTGTTTAGAATAAGGTTAGAACATGAAAGTATGATATAAGAATTTGTTAAATAAAATAAATTATCTGTGAATACACATATCCAGATTCAAATGGCAGAAAGCTTTTTATGATGGCAAAACAGACTTCGAACAGAAAAGAAGAGCAAATATATTGATTTTGTCAATATGTGTCATCAGTTCAGTATAATTACCAAGACAGATTACCGGAGAAACCAGGCTTTATCTTAACATTCTGTACTTAACCAATTCTGGCCTGGTCCTGAGACACTTAGTTATACAGAAAGAAAGAAATCTATCTGCTCAAGTCACAATTCACAAAATAGAAGTGTGAGAGTTCATCATCCTTAGTCTGGGATATCCTGTATCTGACTGTTCAGCATTGCCGTCATTTGCATTCTTTACATATTATTTAGATAATAGTATTTAAGAGGCTTCATTGTGTATTCTAAAACAGGATGGAGTTTGTAGTTAAATGTTTGGACTAAGGGAAAAGACTTATTTTCCTTTAGTGGTGGGGTTATAATGAAATGAAAAGGACAACTATAAGTTGTAAAACTGGGAACAGAAAGACAGGAAAAAAGATAGGGCAACATGGAAGGAGAGGTGGTGATGAGAAATAAGGTCAGCTTCATGCACGAGCCCATCTACCAAGCTTGCAGTGTGTAAACACACTAATGATATCACGGCATGAGACTTTTGAACAGGGAACAAAATGCATCTCGAATATGGAGCTAGGTATTTTAACAGTATAAAATCACCTCATGAAAAAAAACTCTGGTTTAAATTTTATCTTCCCTATTTAAAAATTGTTTTTAAGATAAAAATATTTTTAAAAAGTGTCTGGAGTCTCAAAGATAAATTATCAAAATTTGGTAATCACATGTTTTTATTTTTCTATCAACATTTAGCAAAAAGTGTAGCTACTTTTCAGTGATCATTAGAAATATTTTAGAAACCTGTAAGAAAGCTAACTATATTAAAAATTATTTCCAGGCTGATTTTGTAAACTTAATACCCAGAAATTTTCAAACATTTCAGCAGATGTTCTCTAGGTGATGGTAATAAAATGTTAAGCTTTAAAAAAGAAATATATTTGACTTTTTAAAAATAAATACATCGTTTATAATAAAATAAAATTCCACTCATGGCAATTCAAGGAATATAATTAAAGTATGCTATGGAAATAGATCCTTTGAATCCTGGCTTAATAAAAAGTATTAGCACTGATAGTTTTAATCTACAAAAATGGAACTGAAAGATTTTCAAAAGTTTATCAGGTTAAAAATATGTAGTGTTGAAGTGTTAAGCTTCTCTAAATTTTAGCATTATACCTCAAAGAGTTCTAACTTCTGCCAGAAGAAGAGTACACTTCAACTAAGCAAGAAATTTCCATTAGTCCTATATTAAGAGACCACACCCCATACAACTAATGACAGGAAAGGATTTCAATTCAAACCTCTAAAACTATCCAGCCTGAAGCAAAGTTTAAAAAAGAAAAAGATACAAAAATAAAACACAACTCACATTTTCAGAGAAGAAAGGAAACTCTTGCTAAATAAGCAGCAATTATGCCGAAGAATTTATATGCTGAGCATGCCTGGATGTAAAACACCAGAGCAGCCAACCACAGCTTCAGCATTCTGAGTATGATTAACAGAGTGAACCTTCAAAGGTCAATTAAATGTCAACACACTTTAAAGAGAGATCCTTAAGTCTGGTCAATGTACAATAGCACCTCATAACTTAGGAGTACCCTTCTTAATTCAAGCAAAATGTGCATGTAATACATGTACATGCATATGCATCCTTACAACATGTGACCAACCAGATCATTACAGAAAGTCATCAGCATCTATCCTAGAGTTTTGACTATTTTAATGTTTCCAAGTCATGAAATGAGCAAAAGGAAAACATAACTGCATTTATTATATAGCACCATCCAGTGAAGATGAAATGCAAAGTAAATTATAAATGCTAAGACTTAGATTTATCCAATAGTTGACCTTATCTATTCCATCATACGAAGTCATTCACAAGGATAACCCTTTGTTGTTCCTAATTCATCATCCCGCTACCTTCCCTGAATGCTTGTGGCTAAAATGCCTACCAAAAAAGGCACATGGCATTCAAAGATTGTCAAGTTTAGCATTAGCAATCTTTGGAATAGAACCAGTCCTGAAGGCACTGAGTGCTCATTCCTGACACTTTCATTCAAGAACTCCATAAGAGCCCGAACCCCATCCCACATAAGGAAGACCAAGTTGTCACAGAACCTCAGAAGGAGAAGGGACCATCAGCATCACCTGGCCCAAACCTCTCCACGTTCACAGTTCAGGAAACATAGAACCACAAATGCAGAGCAACCTTACTTGGAGCCCACAGCTGCTCAGTAGACATCGTCTTTACAACCCACTTAGTTCAGTGCTTTCTTCCCTATATCAAGTCTATCCTATACATTTTCTCTATTAGGCCTTTAAAACCACATTATAATTGACCAAATAGCCATGGCAACCATGGGAATTCAGAGGAAGATGGGATCTTTAAGGTGTTAATGATCTGGGCAGGCTCCAAGGGGGAGTCAGATGCTAAAGAATAGGCAGACGGGTGGTCTGAGAGGAGGCATCGCTACTGAGGGAAGCACGCGGGCTGAGGCACAGTCAGCCTTATTCCAGGAACTGTGGTGAGAAAGGGTTTAGAGTAGGATTAGACCCTGGTTTTAAGGCCACAGTATAACCTAGGCAGAGGGGGTTCAATCTGATAGGAGGACAAACAGAGAGCGATCGAAGGATTTTGATTTTAGAAAACTGATGTAAAGATAGCAAAGACTAGCCTAGCAATAGTTTTGCAAGAGAGAATGGAGGTGGGGAGAGAGAAATACTTCAGGTGCCTCAGAGCTGTCTGCCTAGTAATATTAATAATACTTTACAGGGCTGTTGTAAGAACAAGTGAGCTGATGTGAGAAAAAGCACTTTGGAAAGTATAAGAGCTCTAGAAAGTAAAGGTAATTTTAAAAGTCAGGGGCAGGGGCCTCTGATCATGTCCCCAAGTCTAGACGGCATATACTTCTCTGAGAAGGCAAATTTGGGGTTGAATTCTGGATCTATTCCTATGGGGTCAAAAACAGAAATCCTTTCTCTCAATAATTCCAACAGCTAGATCCCATGAGGAGAGACAGCTGCCACCTCTAGGCCCCTGCAAGGTTGAGATGCACCAATATTAAAATGTAAAACAAGGACTAAAACTTTAAGGCAGACCACAAAATCAGTGTTTCTCAACACTGTTGAGAACGATCAGTTGGGTGTCAACAACTCAATAAGGCGGTACAAAAAGGGAGGAGGGGAGGGGAGACAGCTCCTGAGCCAGGGAGATCCAGGAGGAGCTCGCGCTATCAGCCGGCCCTGCAGGCTGCAGCCTCCTCCCGGCCCTTTCCCTGTTCCACAACGACTATCGAGTGCTGTGACCTGCCCTTGTGTCCAGCCAGAGCTACTTATCTCCTCCTGCGTTGTCCTCCTCTCTTGTCCCTCTTCAACAGCAATTCTCCAGGGCTAAAAAGTAAATTTTTAAAAGTTACTGTAATAAAGTAAAAGCTACATATATGCAGTATATACTGAGTGACAGTTATCTGTCACTAACTTGTATCTTACATAATTTATAATCTTACATAATTCCCAAAACAACTCCTATGAGGCAGGTACTATTTCCTCATTTTTCAAGTAGGGAAACTGAAGCTTGAGGGTCAAGGTCTCTTAGGTAGCAAACAGCAAAGCTAGGATCTGAATCAAGTGTGGCTGACTCTTCAGCCTATGCTCTGAACCTCTCTCCTAAACTCTTCCCTTTTTTTTCAATAAACATGAAAACCCTCGCGTATATGTCCAGGATTTTATGGTTACAGAGGTTACAGGAGCCATTACATGGGTTGGCAGATGAAAGTTTTGACGATAGAGGGCAGGGGGCCTGGGTTCAGCTGTAGACTTGAGTGCCCAATGATCAGCTTTAGGACTGAAATCTTCAAGCACGCATGTTGCACTGTGTCGAGGGGACAGCTTTCCATTTAGCATTCTTACTCTGTTCTCTCAGGCCTTCTGTCCCCTGGGGTCCATTCTCAATTATTTGCTTGAAACCTCATCTCCCCAGCTGCAGAAGAAGGGGCGGCTGGGATTGCCAGTCCCACAATCAAACACATGCTGGGGTGGGGGGTGGGAGTATCCCATATTAGGAGGGGTCTCTCGGGCCTAGTGCCCTAAAGCAGCCTTAACCCTGCTTGCGGGCGGTGTCACGATTGCTTACAGAAGCGGTTCATGAGGGGCTGCCTGGCCACAGGGCTCAACTAAGAGATGAAACAACATGTCTGGTGCTGGAGGGGAAGTGACCAGAGCAGTGAGCATCTGGGGGTCCTTTTTTGACATTCCCAGAGGAAAGCAACAGTTCCCATTAAACATTGGCAGGAGAACTCTAACACTGATTCTCAGAAGTTAGTGGGATGAACTCTCCCTTTGGGAGGAGCTTGTTAAGAACACAGATCACAGGTTCTGCTCACAGATATTCTGATTCTTTAAGTGTAGGAAGGTGCCCAGGAGCCTGAAGTTTTGCAAGCACTACAGAAGATTCTGATACACATGATCTGAGGCCCGCGTTCAGATACACTGCTCTAACCCCTACAAGGCTGCCCAATGGGCAAACCTACTGAGGAGAACACACCTACAAAGACAGCTTGTTGTTCAAGTATCAATGCTAGGTTCTAGGTTGCGTGGTCATCTTTGTGTGTGTCTGTGTGTGTGTGAGGAAGACTGTCGCTGAGCTAACATCTGTGCCAATCTTCCTCTATTTTGTATGCAGGATGCTGGCTCAGCATGGTATGATGAGTGATATGCAGGTCCGCACCCAGGATGGGAACCAACAAACTTTGTGCCGCCAGAGCTGAGCACACAAACTTAACCACTACACCACCAGCCATCTTGAGTGGTCACTTTTAAGTAACGTCATTAGGCTTTCCAGAAGTTTCCAAGCTAATGTTGGGGACTTATTTTCTTTATGTCACCAGATAGACTATTACACAGGCTCCTCAGGAAAAAGAGTATCTCGTGCATGATGCAGTCCACACAAGATCTCTCCACACACATAGCACTTGTTTAGATGAAGACCTGGGCAAGACACTATGTCCAGTGCTTACTTTATATCTGGTGTAAGATCGAAGATAATTTTCTCCCTACAGGTTCAGTTGATTTCAAAAGGTACACTTTCCCTCATGCATCTACACTGAAAGGTTTATTTCATGCTATTTTAAAAATAAGTTTAAAAATCAGCACTCAAGTGAAATACTATGGTCAGGATTAGGCCATTTAATTAGACATTTAATCACAATGCAAACAGCTACTGATTATTTAAGAAACACACCTTTTCAAAGGTTTGTGTTCTTCAAAGAAAGCTAGGTAATAAAATGTATTATGTTAAATCAATACTGCTATCTTTCTCCTAGAAACCCTATCAGTTATGTTTGGCTCTTTCCAAATCTGTATCTTGATTTTAAGCTAGAAACTTTCAGGTCAGATACTGGAATTAAGCCCAGTTTTCCTTCCAGTTCTTTTCTTGATACCTTCTTTCTTTCCCCTAAAGCATGATAATCATTCTCTCTAAGGATGGGCAAGAAGAATTTTTAATTATTTTTATCCGGGCATTAGGAATTTTATCCAGCAAATATTTGTTAAGTATATTTATGCACTTAGAGTGAAAAAAAAAAAAAGACCCACTCTGTGGTTTTAAGGTCCAAGAGAAGAGAAAGCTCCCAGCGGACACCTGACATCTAGAAGGTACGTCCGTGACCAGTGAGAACCCGGGGGAATTTATCATGGAGAGAACAAAACGATTGTTCCTGGAGTCAGTACCCACAAGTCTACATTTAACAGCTGAACGTGAGGGAAAACGTCTGATTTCACTTTTTACCAAGAAAGCGCGTGTTCTCAGGATAACCAAGTTAGCGCTGCAGCCCCACCTGCGACCACGGCGCTTCAGCTCCAGGGCCGGACCCGCAGAGCCGCACGCCCCGACCCCGCAGGCTGGCCGGGCGGTGGCTCCTCCAGGCCCTCCAGCCAACGGCAGCGCGGCACGTGCGGCCGCCCCGCGGGCTCGGCGGCAGGACAGCGCTCAGGCCGCCGGCCCAGCTCCACCCGCCCCTCCTCCTCCCTCAGGGGTCAGAGCCCGCCGCGGCCCACGCGGAGCTGTCGGTGGAAGGAAGCGACATGCCACCGCCGCCACCACTACAACCACCACCAGCACTGCCCCCACAACTACGGCCACCGCAGCAACCACCACCTTCACCGCCCCTGCAACTACAACCACCACCACCGTCACCGCCCCACAACTACAACCACCACCACCGTCACCGCCCCTCAACTACAACCACCACCACCGTCACCGCACCTACGACTACAACCACCACCACCTTCACCGCCCCTACAACTACATCCACCACCACCACCGTCACCGCCCCTACAACTACATCCACCACCACCGTCACCGCCCCTACAACTACAACCACCACCACCGTCACCGCCCCTACAACTACCAACCACCACCACCACCGCCACCACCACCACCCCTACAACTACCACCGACACCACCCCCCTACAACTACAACCACCGCAACTACAACCACCACCGTCATCGCCACCATACCGCCACCAGCACCGCCGCCGCCGCCGCCACACACGCCAGGCGCTGCAGAGGTGGCCCCCAGACCGGGCCCGGATGGCAGGACGGCGGGAGGCGTCCTGGCACCTGCTCGCCCCCAGACCGGCTCTCGCCCCAAGACTCCCGACGGGGCAGCGGCGCAGCCCGTCTTACTTCGGACGCGACTCGGTTACCCTGGAAAAGCCGACTGCGTCCGCGCCCGAGGGACCGCCGAGCCCGCGCTCACCTGCGCCCGGGCGCTCACCTGCGGCCGCCCCTCGCCGCGCCCGCGCCGGCCTCCCGCCGCCACAGCGCGGGCCGCCGCCGAGGAGACGCCGCCAACTTCTGGGCCCGCGCGCGGGCGGGCGCCCGGGAGCCGCATTGTCCGCGGCCGGCGGGCGGAGGCCGGCGCCGTCCCGGCCGCGGCGGGTCTTTGTCCCGCCGCTCGGCCGCTGACAGCTGACGGGCCGGCCGGGGCCGCCGCGCGCGGAGGGAGGGGGCGCTGACGGACGCGGCCGAAGCGCCGCCGCGGGCCGTGCCGCCCGACACTCGGCTGCGCCGCCAGCGCCGCCTCGCCCAGCCGGGCCGGGACCGCCGCCCACCCTCCCTCCGCGCCCGCCGTCAGGTCGGCTCCGGCCGGGCGCCCGCTCCGGCCCCGCCGCGCGCTCGGGAATCCTGGGGCCCGCCCCGCCCCCGGCCCCGCGCCCGCCAATGAGCTCGGCCCGCAGGGGCAGCGCCGGCCAATCACGTGCCGGAGTGCCCGCCAGGCCCCGAGCGGGCAGCCAATAGGAGGCTACTTCGGCGCACGCCCGCCCCGATCCTTCGGGAGCCAACGGCCGGGAGCCGCGCGCTGCCGGCCCCGCGGGGCGAGGGCAGCCGAGCCGGGCCGGGCCGGGCCGGGGGCCGGAGTCGGCGGGGGTCGGGCGGCAGCTCGGCGCGGGGACGCCGGGGGGCGGGCGGAGGCGGCAGCGCGGCACGGCCACCGCCGGGCGCCTCGCCCTCCGCGCGCTTGGACTCGGCCCGGGAAAGTTCCCGCAGGACGGGGCGCGGGCTGCGCGCACGTGGGCGCCGCTGCAGGGACGCCCCGCGGGCGTCGGCGCCCAGGTGCCGCACCTGCCTGCCCGGGGCGCGCCCGCCGACGCGCGTCTCCGCCCTTGCCAGCCGCCGGAGCCCGGGCGTCCGGAAACCGCTTCCTTCTGTCCCGCCCCAGGACGCAGGCCGTCTTGCCACCCAAAACTTTTCTTTCTGGAAGGAAGGAAGTTGCATTCAAGTATGAAAATGCAGGAGTTTGGGATGCAAGTGGTCTTGTGTGAGCTTTAGTTCAGTTGTAGGGCACGGTATTCTTGAGTGCAGGTCAGATGGAAGCACTGACGCGAACGTCATACGTGTGCATACAGGGAGAGAATCTTGAGTCCGCCCCTGGCTGTGAAGGAGTCTACCCCTTAACCACAGTGCTTTGCAGATAATAGGCTCTCTGTCGTTGTTGATTTGATGTGAATAGGATTACTCACTGCTTGTTGGGCATATAAGGTTTGTAAACTTTATTAAACTCTCCGCTGAACATGGACTACACCATAATGGAAACAGGTCTTGGTAACACGTTTGCCTATGTTAAAATCAAATCACGCTTATTTGTACTTTAAATAGCTGTCACGTTCAGTTTGTTTCTTCCAGCAATAAACTTTGCATGTAAACATTTCTGTACACATGTGACATGTTCCTTCTGCGTAAGTTATTTTGGTCACCAATTTTTTTTTTTAAAGGATGATCTGTACAATAAACCACAAGAAAAAAAAGGAAGAGAGAGATATCAAACAAGTAAAAAAAGGCTTGTATTACTATTTTGCTTTCATGATTGAAACTCACCACCCCTCCTCATTAGCTTCAAAGGGCAGCATGCACCCCAAGACTAAGTTTTGTCAAAAGAACCATCTTTTGACTTGACCTTGAGCTAATCTCTAAATGACTCTCCCTTATGAAAGGGCAATATCCCCGACTCCGCCTGCCTCATCCAGGTGCTGTGAGGTCCAACCAAGACAGTTTTTTGTCAATTTGTTTTCTATTAGATGTTGTACCAAGTGCCTTAAATGTGTTGTCCTCCTTCTATGCTTTTCTAGAAGCAAGTATCAAGATAATTGCCCACTAGCAGCCTATCGATATTTCCTCTGACTGCACATTTTTTTCAGTCTGAAATAATTTTTTGAGCCCATCAATTTTCCCTCAAACTAGTTGTGAATGAAACTCCTGCCTCAATTCTAGCACTTCCAGGTTTTTTTCCTTTCTTTCTTTTCTGTCTTTTTTCAGTGGAGAAGGTGTTAAGAGAGAAATTTAATGTGTCCCATGACTGCCGATGTGCATAGTTTTATGTGGAAGTTGTTAATGGCTGGGTCAAATTTATACCCATCTAATCAAGTAATTTTGCAGGCATTTATTAGGGATTCACTTCAGGCATTTATGCTTAATTTTCAAAGAGGAAGGCAAATGCATATTTTTAGAGGTATTTCCATGTGTCATAATGTAATTTGTTTACTTTGTTCCAAAATTTGCAATCTAGTACAGAAGTTTAATTATTACTTCAAACAAATGTACATATGGTAACACTAGAATGTGAGATTTGCTAAATTTAATTGAACCAGCAGTTGTTATTTTCAACTAATTAACTGCGCATATTTCCTTTTCTGAGTGAAAATTGTGGAAGAATTGATCAATATGAATCAATTATGCATGACATTAATTATATTCAAGTCCAAACCAGTATTTGGTAATTTCTTGATAATTGACGAGTCCATACCCATTTATTACAGGGAATGAATATTCTATCCATTGTCTGGGCAGTCTTTGTGACTCCACCGTGGTGATATTTCATTCACCAAATGATATTTTAGAGTTTTTCATCAATGATTTCTTGATGAAACAAGACAGTTGTCCAGTATGGAACAGGAGAGCTGTCACTCATTTAGAGAGCTATCAGTTTTAACACATATTTAAACGTTCACTAGAGAAACTGTGATTTTGGGGGTAGTTTTAGCATTTGTAAGGATAATTTTTTTGAATACACAGACATAACATCTTTTATAAGTTGCGTCACATGATCTGTGCTAATATGACTAATGATATTATTTTCTCTGTGTGTTTACAATTAAGGTGCTGTCACCTTAAGATTACTTCATCAGTGAGTATAACAAATAACTGGATTCACTTCTTCTGGATTCTCACTATTGATATGCCTCTGGAATTTCTGCGTGTTTTGGACAAATCAATGTTTCAGGTAACTTCTCTTCAACTTACTGAGTCTAATTCACTCATTTGAAAATGATGTTATTAGGAATAGTGAAATAATATCTATATAGAGAAAATAGAAAAATAATTTGCTCCATTTCCCTTTTATTTCTGACATGGATGAGGGAAAATTTTTTTTGTGAACCACAACATCAGATCCCTTTAGCTCTCCTTTTACAAAGCTTATATTTTTCTGATTTCTTGAACCTGACAGTGGAGAGTATCCTCACTGTGTGATGTATTTATGGCAAGAGTCTTTTATATGCATACAGAGAAAAAGAGAGAACACTCCAGAAAACACTGGTAATGGGCACACTAGACTTCCCTTCCCTTCTTATCTTGGCCCACAATCCCTAAGGAAAATTTCTTTTAGAGTTTAGTATTAGCAGAAATTTTGTTTCCCCTGAACTAAACCCTTACAACGTCACCTTTTTATTTCGATTATCAGGAAGCTCAGAAGTAAATTTACAGCTCGATTTAGGAAAGTGTTATGGCCTGCTTAATTGTGATGTTTCATAAACGTAAGATTTACCTTATCTTGGTTTATTATTTTTGACTTACACATTACTAGCTTATATTTGTATGTATGCATTTTTTAAGCTATCTAAAGTACTTTCTGAAATGAGGTGAAGTATAAATGCATGAATAACATATTTTGGCCATACGTAATCCCTGGGTGTGATGAGCTGAGCGTAACTTAAGCAGAACGTGTAGTGACGGCAACAGGAAGGAGGTTGCTGTGGTTTTCCTTCACAGAGGAAGAGGAATCTGATGGAGAGGCAGAAAAGAATAGAGGTACATGATGGGGAAAAGTACACTTCTTTTTTAAAGTTAAAGTTATAGGAAATATACACTTATGGAGGTTTTCTGGAAAATCAGGAGTTTTATTCAAAAATAGAATATTTGACTTAAATAGAAACTGAGCTACATATTATAAATTATGCTCAAGTCATGGTCACTTCCTTTGTTACCCATTAGTGGCCTTTATACTTAAGACAATAACCCCTAGAATATGTTTCAAATGCAATAAATCTTCTCACCAGGATCACTATACGCCTATTTCCTTCAATTTTAGTAGTCTCTTTTAGAAAATAAACAATGTATCCCCGTGTTTTCAAATAATATTCTACAATGGCTTTATTTTTAAAAGGCTTTTCCTGAGTAAGATACTGGCCTAGAACCACTGCAGGGCATCATCTTATCATTTTGTTTTGTCTTATGAGATATATTTTAATTAACTATAAATTACAGGTCAAAAAGTCATACGTCTTTTTAAAGTGGAGTCGTTTACACAAGGTAGGTGGCAGAGTCCCCTCCCTTCCTGGCCTGCAGCCAGCGTGCAGGAGGTCTCAGTGACATTAGGAGAGTTTCTATGGTGAGTGGTAGAAAACTCAAGTCAACCCCATTTAAATAGAAAACCTTTGTGTTAGCTCTCGTAATTAACAGCCGCTTTACAACCTAGACAAAGTAAAAGTGGATGTACAGCTAGCTGACAGAAGGTTGGGGGTGAAAGAAGGGAGCAGCAGTGGAAGAACGAATCGAGGGGGTAAGAGCCTTATTCCACAGAGGAGTGTTGAGAAACTGACTGACGTCTATCGGACAAGAAACAGAAGTGCAAGTAGATATTTCTAAATTACAACCAATAAAACTTAAAATAATAACATAATTATCAAAGTTACAGAGGTGTTGAGAAAAGGACTACAGTCAAAGAACTGAAACATCATTTAACATACCTGAGGGTCAAGCACACAAAGAGAGATAGAGAGATGATAGATTGATAAATGATAGATAGGTGACAGGCAAAAGATAGATGGTAGATAGTTGAGAGACTGATGGATGATAGAGAGAGAAAAATGAGTACATAAATGTATCAGTTATTTCATTATTTAAATTTCATATTTTTTCAAATAAGTTTATGTTTGTTTTCTGAAAGCAGATGTGGTCAGGAGACTTTTCATTTTGAGGGTGTTCAGTTGGGTGTGAGGAGGATTGTTATATTTGATTTTTTTTAAAACAAAGTGAATGTTGTTCTGATGAAAAATTTCAATGTTACAAAAAATCTTAGCTTGAAATTTATTAAAAATAAATCATTAAAAAATAAATCTAAGGTATCAATATATGTTGGAAAACCACAATTGTAAAGTATTTAGGGTAGGATAAAATGGGATTTAGGACCCTGGTGTGCTGAAATATAAACATTGATCAGGAATATATATGGTGGTTTTGAGAAAGCAAATATAACGGAGATATAGTCAAATTATTTTATTTCCTTCACAAGCAATTCATAATGTAGTGTATTTTCTTTTTTCTCCTTGAAAACAACTGTGCCTTTGGATCTCATAGATTCTAGTACAGATTGGGTACGGGAGGATGTTTCTTAAATGCCTGTTTGTTTTTTGATGAAGTAATTGTATCATTTGAAACCATTTGACTCAGCACACAGGAAACTCAGTAGAAAATGTGTTCAATTGTGGGTGTCATAGCTTGAGAAATGAATGAAAATTATGGAGAAGATTCTGTGGAAAGTTACAAAAGGAATTAGAAATCTGGCACATAGAATATTTGAGGAAATGACATTTTTGAGCTTTTGTGGTTTCAGGTTTTTCAGATAGAATTCATTGTTAATCTTCTATGCCAGTGAAGGAGAATGTTGGGACCACTGTGGAATGCTCCAGGGGGTCTCTGAGCATCAGTTTATCTTGGATAAGAGGGAAATCAGTCTGCTGGGCTTTCAGGCTGCATTGTGAATACTCAAAGGCAAGGAAAAAAGCTGTTACCAGAAACCATGGAGGAAGAAAAGGTGTGTGTGTGGGGAATGTGTGTGCATGCGTGTGTAAGTAACCAGGCTGGATAAATGTTTGGATCACCACACAGCTGGGTCATCTGCCAGTTGATAAGGAGCAGGATAAATCTAAAAGGTAAGTCCAGAAAAATTAAACAATCATGATAGAGTGTAAAGTTGTATTTTATAATATACTGTGCCGTTTGAAGAGAGTATTTGTGGAAACTACTGAACTCTAACCAAAGCATTCTCACGTAGGTGGCGTTTGTCCAAAGTTGTCTGAAAATAAATACAGCAATACGAGTTGGATTTTCATTCACTTCTTTTCATTCGGAAAGAGCCTTGCCGCATGTCCCCACGGTGGATCCTCGTAACGTTCCCTCCAGGTGAGGAGGAGGCAGCTGGGTGCACGGTGTGGATTCCCAGATATTTGTGAGCTCTGCTACTTTGATGGGACTCAACCAGGCCACTAATTCCTCTGGGCCCATAAATGAGGAGGAGGAGAGCTACAAATGCTGTTTCTTTCTCGCTGTGCTGTTTTGAGGATGGAAGCGGCCAATTTATTTGAATGAGCTTTGCAGACGGTTATGTGCGTCGCCAGTGTTCTCATTAGCAGAGGTTCTGTTCCCGTTTCATGGCGGCTGGAAGGGAGACACAGTGACGAGATGAGTCCTCTGTTACCCGGTTAGATAAGGCCGGTCCAGGCCCCAGCGCCCCACATCTCCTGATGATTCACAAGTGCTCGTTCCACTACTCTGATCCTTGCTTTGACCTGTGGTCAATAGATACAAAATTAGAATAATCTGGTGGTTTCCTCACTTTCTTTTTTGGATTGGAGAGTTAATCGGTTACCAGAACCCTCTGACTGGAGGTCTTATGATAATCAAGAACTTGGTTCTGCAGCTCTCTCAGCACTCTCCATCCACCTGGAGGGGACGAGGTGCTGGAGGAGCCACTCTGGGCTCTGGATAGGGAACAGGGGACTTCCTGGCTCCTGAGGGCAGAGAAAGGGCACAGAGAACCAGGGAGACAAGGAGCTGGGAACTGCAACGGATGAGAGTTCCTGAAGAGCTCCTGAGGGTGGGCAGAAGGGGCCTGGAGAGAGGATTTCCAAGGTTCCAGGGCAGATGTTCAGTGACATCTTCTAACCACGTAAATGGCCTGGCGTGAAGGGTTTTGTCATTGTTACTTGCTTGTTTTGTTTCAGTGGGTCCATAGGGAGCAAAGGAAAATAAGAGGCGACCATGAAAGTGTAAGACCCTCTCTTCCTTCCCCAGAATTCTCAGAAAAACTGGCAGGACTTTGGAAATCTATATCTAGATGACACATAGAATAGAACAGCAACAACAAAAAGATAAGCCCTAATTGTATTTGAGGGCCCGCTTCTCTCTTATTGTTGCTGGGTTAGAGAAACAGAAAGGAAAATGGTAGCATGTGGCGATTATTGCTGAAAGTAGACAGACCAACTCGTGTGCTTTCCTGCTGTAAAAAATTGTTGTCTGAGAAAGCTAACTATATTTATTATTGCAAACTCTACCCTTAATGCCCAGCAAACATTAGGTTTAATTTCCATGAGGCGATATAAACTGTGATCTGTTCAGGATATAGTATACGATATATTTATATGAATAAAATGAAACCTAGAAAGATCAACACCTAAATGTGGTTATCTCTGTGTAGGATGATGGTGATCCACATACTTTTTTGTATTTTCTGAAAAATCTCCAATAAACATGTTGCAATTAAAATAATAAAAAATCTCTTTAAAAGGTGTATAACCGATACAGACTTCTTCATTGCTGCATTAGTTATACCATTTATGAATAAAAAAGGAAGAATTATATTATATGAATTATATTAAATTATCTGTTTCCTACTGGAAATCTCTTTACTTGGACTTTTGAACCAAAAGTTTGAATATTCATTGTGATAAATAATTTAGATGATTTTCATGACCAAGTAAAACCCAGGAAGTAATATAAAGAGAAGTGGGATGACTTTTCATTGTGACGGTTATGTCTAACACCTAAATTCCAGCTGTTTGGTCAGCCGTTTTTATTTGAGGGATATGGAAAATTTTAGTTGCTCATTAGTTCACTTTAGGTAGACTATTTAAGGACTAGTGGAATGATGGAGCAGTCAGAAGTCCAGTGTTGCAAAGACAGGAATGTTCTCTTTTGAAGACTTTGTAGTTGATAGAGATGACAGGTAACGCTCACGTGGCTCTCCATGAGTGATGTAATTCAGACCAGAGTTCTCAACCAGGGGGATTTTGCCCCCGGGGGACTTCTGGCAATGTCTGCAGACATTTATGGCTGTCACCACTGGGGACAGGGGTGCTACTGGCATGGGCGGGGAGGCCAGGGTTGCTGCTACACAGGCTGCAATGGACAGGATAGCACCCACCACAAAGAAGTGTTCAGCACAAAACGTCAGTCCTACGAGGGCTGAGAAACCCTGCTTTAAGCTCCTTTTTATGTACAAATAAACAAGATGACACCATAAACTTCGAATCTTAAAAGTAGGAAACGATCTTTATTTATATGTTTTCTTTCAAGCAGTGGAAAGTAGAAGTGATATTTCCCTTCCCAAAGGGTCAAAAGTAGAAATATCTCTAGTATAATTTTGTGTTATAAAATAATATTTAAAAATCAAGAAACCTAAGGTAGCTATTCACAGTGTTAGAGAAATCAGAATTGGAATAGTACAACTCATGGAAAACAAATGTGCTACAGCGAGTGAGTTGAGAATGGCTTTTTCTTTTTTAACATTCCTCAAAAGAATATTTTAGGTGGTAATTCAAAACGGTTGGGAATGTGAATCCAATGATATGTCAAGAACATACATTAATAATGACTGCTCTTCTCCCAAGAAATAAATGAAAACACAAGGTGCACTTATTACAGTGTTTCCTGTGCCCTTCAGAATCACGAGTTATTAGAAAGGCAGTTCTGGGACACGGTGCAGATACAGGGAGCCGTCCTCCGCCGCCCACCCCAATGTGAAACTTCTGTTCTCAAAGGAGGATCCTTGGGTTAAGACAACAACAACAGTAACAGGAAGTTTGGCAGCATTTGTACTGTGTTAACCCCACAACACTGAAGCATTTTTTCAGCGCATTTTAAAATATGCTTTCAGTTGGTTAGTGCGTGAAGTTCAGTGGAGGTCACTGCCGCTTTTTTATTTTCTCCCTAGAGAGGGCGTTGACCCGGTTCCCTGTGGGTAGGAATGAAGACTCTTAACTAAAGCATGCCCTTGTGGTCTTCACCACACCTTTCCTCAAAGAACAGGGCATGTTCTCGTGAAGGATGAAATGATATGTCATGATTATATTTTGTTTTGGTTTTTAATTAAATCTGTATTGCCTAAAGAGCCACGAAATTGTCTTTGGCAGGTTAGATGAAGACGTAAGGAAGATCAAGTCACTTTATGCTGTCAGAGGCTGTCTTCTTAGTATGTGATAGAATTGACTCTATGAGATTCGTCAGAAAGACATAAATCCTGTTCTGTAAATATTCATTATATGTTTTAATTGGTGTTGGGATCAGAAAGCAAAGAAGATTATAGGATTGCTTTGTAAACATTCTGTACTTCTTTATAATTTTGCAAAATTTTTTGTTAATAATTTCTTTCTGGTCATAAAAATAGTATGTTTACTACTTAATATTTGGAAAATTCAGGAAAGTATAAAAAGAAAAAATACCCGCAGAGACCACCACTTCCAACCCAAGTCAACTTCCTTCCAGATCTTCCATAAAACAGGGGGCCCTGTGTGCCCAGCCTTACCATCTGCCTCCAACATTTAGTGAAAATTTACCCATCTCATCAAACTTCTTCCAGAACAAAGTTTCTAATGTCTGTACCACGTCTCTTAAAGGGCCGCACCTAATTCAGTTATGTAAGTGGTTCTGATGTTTCTCTCCTCCATAACACACACACATATACATTGTTCCCCTCCAATGGTTCAGATATAACATGGACAAGAAAGGCTCTGGTTGTTGCAAATTTCCTGGGCATGTGCTCTTTCTGCTTCTTCTTTTCCCTCTCTGAAAGTGAATCCTACTACGAGTAGGAGGGCCATCACCTTCAGTGTAGATGGGTAGATTGAGATAACTTCCTGTGCCCTCTAGTCCATTAACTAATATATGTATATGTATTTTTTTGGTGAGGAAGATTGGCCCTGAGCTAACGTCTGTGCCTATCTTCCTCTGTTCTGTATGTGGGTTGCCACCAGGTCATGGCTTTATGAGTGGTGTATGTCTGCACCTAGGATCTGAACTCTCGAACCCCAAACCCCGTGGCCACTGAAGTGGAGTGTGGAAACTTAAGCACTATGCCACTGGGCTGGCCCTTCCTATTAGCTAATATTTAAAGTTTAGCACTTTTACCACTCATAGTGACAAATTACTTGTGACACCCCCCCCCCCAACTGATGTTGGCTATTTTGTGCCATCTGGAGTGATTAACACTAAATTCAACTAACACAAGTGTAACACAGGATGAAAGTCCCTGCCCGCAAGTGTTCCCTGATTGTTTCTAGAGGACAGATGGCCAACAGTAGAGTATTCAATCTAAGGGCATTAATTCTTGATATAGATCATTAAACTTGCTTTCCAGAAAAGTTGTTCCAATTTCTAATCTCACATTCCACAAGACTGGGCTTTAGAATTAAGTTTTGCCAGGGGCCAGCCCGGTGGCGCAGCGGGTAAGTTTGCATGATCTGCTTCTTGGCGGCCTGGGGTTTGGCTGGTTCAGATTCTGGGTGCGGACATGGTACCACTTGGCAAAAGCCATGCTGTGGCAGGCGTCCCACATATAAAGTAGAGGAAGATGGGCATGGATGTTAGCACAGGGAGAGTCTTCCTCAGCAAAAAGAGGAGGATTGGCGCAGCAGTTAGCTCAGGGCTAATCTTCCTCAAAAAAAAAAAAAAATTAAGTTTTGCCAATTTGATAAGTGAAAAATATAGCCTTTAAAACAAAAGTATCTGAAATTGAGTAATTTAATCTTTTCCTTCATGTTTAGTTTTTCTTTTCTCCTTCCCTCACTCCTCCCTCCCTCCCACTCTCCCTTCCTTCTTTTTTCTCTCTTGAAGTAGGTACTTCATTCTTTGCCAATTTGTCTATTGAACTTTTAAGGTTTACATTAGCTCCTTATATATTAACTATATTAAACATTTTTTAGCATAAATCTATGTCAAATGTTTTTCCCAATTTGTACTTTTTAAATTATATATATATATTTTCATGATGATGGAGGTTTCATTTCAGTTTTTGGTTCTCTTTCTTATTTTAGGGAAATTTTAAATTTTATTCTCCACAATCAAGTTTGTACTATTTTTTGCATGATTTCTTTCAATGCTTTTATAGTTAAAAAGCATTTTCCCAT